GTTCAGTGCCGTGTGAGGAACAGCAGCCGAGATCACGGGAAAGCTGTACTAGGAACTAACACTGGCTCTCCAGCGACTGAAGTCTCATGGCCTCCCGTTTTCAGGAAGGATGTTTGTTACCCTGCTCTCCATGGGTCCATTCACTGCAGCACCGCCCCTTCTCTCCAAGCTCCAATGAGCAGGGAGAGCAGGTGTGCAGGGAGCAGGCTGAGAGCCGGTGTTTGCAACACCTTGTGTCTGGAAAACCAAGGGTGTTGCTGCTCTGGTTTGAAGGACCTAGACAGTGAGGTAGGTGTCTCCCAGGAGACAGCTGTCAGCCCAACTTGGCCTTAAGCCACCAACTGTGTGCCAGGCACCATGCTAAGCACCAGAGCCCAAAGAGCCCTGCCTGGGACCCCACTGCCAGACACACAGCCTGGTTAGTGCACCACGAAGGTTCTGTCTCGTGCCAACCAACCTGCGCTGACTTCGACAGTCGTGGCCATGCAACCTGTCCCTCTTAATCCCCGGGGGGGAACAAGGGAAGCCCTCTGATGTCAGAAGGCCTGATGCATAGGGAGGTAGGTGTCCCAAGTTGTGAGGCCCCCCCAACTCCCTTGCCCTCCCCAAATTACCTGCTTGCCAGGCAGCCTGCCAGTTCTTATCACAGGGCCATTGTCATCTGGGGGATCTCTGCCCAACAAGGCTGGCCAAGCTCCCCATTGGCCTGCTCTAACCTTCTCTTTCCAAGGACACCAGCCTCTTCCTACAGCCGCATTCTGCAGGGAGGTTACTTAGCGGGGAAGTGGGCCTGGCCAGAGGAAGGCGTGCCGAACAGTAAATAACTGGGCGTGAGGAGAGGTTCGGTTGCCATAAATCTCTTCAGAATTTTACACGGAGCTAGAGAATATTGACACGAGTTAAATTCAATGAAACAACATTTAATTAAACTTTAAATGATCCAAATATTTGCACTTCGGTTAATGTTTGTGTAGCTGACAGCAGAATTATGATGGCCTGTCAGTATGCACCATTCTAATTTTTCGAGTCTTTCCTGTGCAAAGTGCATGTCCTCAGACATACAGATGATGGGCGGGTGCGCTCAGCAAGGTCGCAGGAGCGGCTGTCCCAGGGCAGAGGCCTAGAGGCGCACACTTCCCTCCCGGAGTGTTTTGGTTGGTTGGTTGGTTGGTTGGTTGGTTGGTTGGTTTTAGCCCTGTGCTACAGGCTCCTCCAGACATTTTTCTAACACTTTTTGAAATATATCGCTTTGGGGCCACATGGAGGGAGGCCTCCTGCGTTGCACATAAGTGTTACATTCCAAATGAGGGTGGTGCTCCTAGCCTGGTAATTAGGGCCCCCAGTCCCCCAGCCAGCCAGTCTACCTCACCTCCCCAAATCCACCTGCACTCCCTTTCCATCTATGCAGACACCCCCTTCTTTTAAGACAAGGGTTCTCAGGCCTCAAGGTACCATGGGAGCCCTGGGGTGCATCAGTGCATGAGCGAAGGGGTGCATATATCTTTTTGAATTAGTATTTTGGGTTTCTTTGGATAAATATCCAGAAGTGGAATTGCTGGGTCATATAATAGCTCTATTTTTTTATTTTTTTGAGGGATCTACATACGTTTTCCATAATGGCTGCACCAATCCGCATTTCCACCAACAGTACACAAGGTTCCCTTTTCTCCACATCCTCGCCAGCACTTGTTTGTTGATTTGTTGATAGCCATTCTGATAGGTGTGAGGTGGTATCTCATTGTGGTTTTTAATTTGCATCTCCCTGATGATTAGTGATGCTGAGCATCCTTTCACATGTCTGTTGGCCATCTGTATGTCCTCTCTGGAGAAGTGTCTATTCAGGTCCTCTGCCCATTTTTTAATGAGGTTGTGTGTGTGTGTTTGTGTGTTTGGTGTAAGTTTTATGAATTCCTCATATATTTTGGATATTAACCCCTTAATGGATGCATCATTGGTGACTGTCTTCTCCCATTCAGTAGGTTGTCTTTTTGTTTTGTGGATGGTTCCTTTACTTTGCAAAAGCTGTTTAGTTTGATATAGTCCCATTTGTTTATTTTTTTGTTTCTCTTGCCCAAGAAAATATATCCAAAAAAATATTACTTAAGAGCAATGTCAGAGTTACTGCCTATGTTTTCTCCTGGAAGTTTTATGGTTTGGGTCTTACATACGTCTTTAATCCATTTTGAGTCTTTTCTTATATATGGTGTGAGAAAGCAGTCTAGTTTCTTTCTCTTTTTTTTTACACATTATCTGTCCAGTTTTCTCCACACCATTTATTGAGGAGACTGTCTTTGCCTCATTGTATATTCTTGTCTCCTGTGTCATAGATTAATTGGCCATATAAGTGATAACATATAGCACCTGACTTCTTCACAAGCCCCACTCACCAGCCATTGGGAGAAAAATGCACCTAAATATTCAATCCATTATGAAGCTGAGTCCGGGCTGATGATCATTTTTGCAGTCCACATAATTAATTCTCTACCTAAGAAAAACGCTTCGTGTTTCCAATTCCCCACCCCACCCCACGTCCCCAGCTGCTCCTCTATCTGGTTTCTGAGTGTGGATTTAAGCACCCTGCCATTCTCCACCACCTCCGGTTTCTGCTGCTGGGATCTCACCCCGCAACCCTAATCCTCCCCAGTTCCCTGTCAGCGGTCAGCCCTGGCTGAGCTCCTGGTCTGGGCTCTCGCAGCCTGGTGGATTTTGGAGTCTGAGGTTCCCTTGGTTCAGCCGCGCACCGCCCCCACTGGCACGATGCACCCCTCAAGGTCAGGAGGTCATTGCCTTTGGCCCAGATCTGGCCATTCAATGCAGCCCTCAGACACAGGGGTACAGAGCACCTCACAGCCCAGCCAGTGCCCAGGCAAGGACCTCTGGCTCCCTCCAGGTCACTCAGGAGTCCAGGGGGCTCTGGTGGATAATCTGAGGCTCTGGCTCTCACACCATGTGTAATCGCCCCAGGTGGGGAGGGGAGCAGGCCGGTTAGAGACAGTTCAGCCTCCTCTCACCTACACACTAGCAGGCACACTCTTTGCCCTTCCACAGTCTCCCTTGTGATTCCCACAATGCCCCGGGACGAGGATGGGGTATTCCATACCTGCTTACTTCTTCCATAGAGCACAGGGCCTCATGGGTTGTTGGGGGGACAGGGGGTGTTAATATACTTTTATTGATTTCAGAGAGGAAAAGAGAGGGAGAGAGAGGTAGAAACATCAATAATAAGAGAATCATTGATCAGCTGCCTCCTGCACGCTCCCTACTGTGGGCTGAGCCTGCAACCTGAGTATGTGCCTTGACCTGGTGGGCACTCAACCACTGGGCCACACCAGGCAAGGAATCCCATGAGGAAGAGGTACCTTGTTTATACTTGGAGAGAATCTGGGTTCTGAGCCCTAAGGGCCAGCACAGCACAGGGGAAGCTGGACAATTTTAGCAAATTCTCCTTATCTCTCCTCGCTCTGCCCTCTATCTCCAAAGCCGGGTTTTGCTACAGTGGGCTAGCGCCCTCTCTGCCCTGAGAAATAAGCTCATGACTCCAAGGCAGGAGGGCAGCACACAGAATGTGATTGAAGAGGGAATGTGAAATGCACCTTCGTTTGTGAAATATTACGCGGGTTGCATCTGCATCAATCACGTGCTGCTTATCTTTCCTCCTGCGGCTCCACCACCGGGAGCCACATTTGTCCTGTGTGTGACTGTCCCCTCTCCGCTGGCCTGTTGGCTCCTTTCCTTCTTTATTTCCACTTTCTCCATTTTGAATCCATCCGTCCAACAAGCATTGATTGAGCGCCTAGTATATACCTTGTTCCTCTCTGTGGGCCCAGGGCAGGGCCACTGAATGATTGTGGACGGGAAGGGCTTTGCTCCTCAGGTTCCTACCTGACTGCATCTGCTTTGCAGTGCATCGTGCACCTGTAGCTTCGCGCCTTCGCGCCTGTGGCTGTTTGGCTCGCCTTCCCCTCCCCTCTCCCACACACGCTGGCAGGAGGGTGTGAGCACAGATGTTCTGCCTGATCTCATCTCAAAAGTGTCCCACTGAGTCACACAGCTCCATCCCCAGCTCTCTGCCTTGCTCCACAGCTGTCAGACACCCCCAGGCCCTGATAGAGTCTCAGTCAGAGTAAAAAGGGCTCCCAGCATTTTTGCTGGCATCCCAGAATAAACACAGCTCCCCCTACCCCCCAACCCCCAAGCCAGCTGCCTCCCTCGGCTCATGCCGCCTCTGGCTGCTGCCCCAAGCCCCCTTGCCTTGCAGATTTGGGGGAGGCCGTCCAGCCAGCGGGCTAGTGACTCTCCCTCCAAGCCTGATCCCATTTTGGTTTTTGAACATCTGAGTCTGATTAATTGTTTCATAAATCCCAAGCATTTCAGAAAGCCTCTGGTTAAAGGGAAGTATTTTAGACCCTTCCCATTTGCCTGAAGAATGGCCAGTCTTCATGCCAGTTATCAAGTGTGAAATGGCAACGATTAATAATTTGTGCAGCCTAAAGTACACTTCAAAAAGTTAAAGGCTACCGTGCCTGGTGGCTGAGCAGAAATCCAAATCCAAGTTCAGAGAGTCCTCAGGCAGAAACAAACCTTCAAAGGTCAGCCAGTCCATTCCCCAGACTGCAGACAGCGCAACCTTTACGCTGCCCCCAGAAGAAGAGCTTGACTGCACCCAGCCGGGCCCAGACCTCGTGAGGCCCGAGGCCCCGGGAGCACATGGCAGGCGCTGCACGTCTGGCCCTGGTCTCTGTGGGATGGCCCACAGGGCAGGCAGCCCACATTCCGGCCACAGCCCAGATGGCTCCTCTGCACTCGCTGTGGTTCCTGGCCCGTTTTGGCCCACAGAGCCCTTTGATCATTTGGCATAAGTTGTGGCCCCTCTCCCAGGAGGTATGTCCGTCTGTATGTTCTGTCGGCACGTGGTGGACAAATGCCCGTTGCCCTCCAGCAACCTCGGCCCCTGCCCCACAGGAAATCCCCTGCACCTGACGGCCTTCTTCTCCCTGCAGAGGTGGTTCAGCTCAGCCTCGCCCCGGAGGAGAGGGTCAGCGTGGCCACAGTGACCGTGGGGCTGAGCACCGTGCTAACGTGTGCTGTCCGCGGAGACCTGCGACCACCCATCGTCTGGAAGCGCAACGGGCTCGCCCTGAACTTCCTGGATTTGGAAGACATCAACGTAAGTAACCTGGCTCTGACTTGGAGCTCAAACGTACGTCCAGGGGAAGTAACCTGTGCAAGACTGCGGCAGAGGCAGGGCCTGAGGGTTCTCTGCTGCCACCCACATTTGGTACCTTCCAACCTGTTGTCAGACACCTGGAGGTACTGGAAAACCCAAGCCCCACCACATGCAGAGGCAGGGTGTGTGGTGGCTGTGAGCCTGCCAGCCAGGCCCAGAAGGGAACGGGGAAGCCAGGGGGCAGGGCAGGAGGTCCTTGTTACAGGCCAAAGCGGCTAAGGCCAGGAGGTGGGCGTGAGGATGGGATGTGAGAGGAGGGGGCTGTGTATCAAGCCCACTGCTCAGAGGGAGGGACCACAGTCCAACAGAGAACATGCCAGAGGGCTCCCAGGGAGAACATCTGGGTGAGGTCCCCTGGGTGGTGGAGGAGAAACTCCGGGCCTAAAGCTGGGAAGAATATAGACAGCTGGACATGGGGAAGAGGGATTCCCTGTGGAGGGCAGAGGTGAGCTCCTGGGCTGGGTTGGCTGGAGGACAGAGGCCAGGTGATGAGGGAAAGAAAATTAGGTCCAGCCAGAGGGGCCTGCCCTGGGGCCTTGCTTATGGAGTGGGAAATGCGGGGGTGATGCGTTGAGTGGGAGAGCCCTGAGCTCACACAGCCTATCATGACCAACAGGAGAACGTCTGCACGCTGAGGGCCCAGGCAGCCTGGGCTGGGGTCCCAGCGTCCCCCACACTGCCTGTAGCACTTAAGCAATTTCTTAAACAGCTGATCCTCAATGAATTAATTTATTAGAAAAGCAACATCAATGGTACCTCCCTTCTACTGGACTTGAGAAATACAGGGATTCATTCAAGAATATTTATTGGTTCTGGTTTGGCTCAATGGTTGAAAGGATTTCCCAGAAGTTCGTGTGAGAGGACAGAATGATGTCACCAAGCAAGATGCTGCCAGGTCAGCAGGTACAGAAACAGGGGGCAGCCCTGGTCTGGGCGCAGGACAGGTCAACTGGCTCAGAATCCAGAGAAGGAGGACCGGTGGGATGTGTGGCCAGTTCCCGCTAACAGTGCTAAGATGCTGGGGGAGGTGCTGGGGCAGAGGGTGTCGGCCTGGTCTGTGTGATCCAAGAGTTGGACTATCACAAAGGCCCAGGGAGCACCCCAAAAAGAAACCAATTTTAGCTCCTTAGCTGGAACACCATTCCAGCCACAGCCCTGCCTCTCGATGGAGTGAGCCATCAGAGGAGGCAGTGAGCTCCCCAACCCTAGAGACATGCATGTGCATGCAGGACCGTGATTAGCAATACTGGTGGCCACAAGAGGGCAGCTAAACCCCACACCCTTGACGTCTGCTTTATGGGGAGAGGCCCAGTACAGAATCCTGCAGGAATCCTCGAATGGGATTCTTGCTGCACCTGGAAATCGTGTGGGAAGCAGAGAAAAGAGGGGCCATCCTGGAGAGCCACTCTGGGCAGAGCTGGCAGGAGGGCCCTTCCCCAGTCACACTGGGCAGGACGTTTCCTTGTGGTTGCCTCATAGGCTGTATTCCACCCGTATCTGAATGTCAGTGCCAGCACAAACCGGTGGGTGTTGACGCCAGATGCTGATGGGCAGTCTTCTGATCCTAAGGAGCCCAGAGCGTGTCTGGGATCTTAGCAAGGGAAGGTAGTGTCCTGGGGTGCATGTGTGTGTATGTCGGGGGTGCACGTTTGTATGTACAAGAGCTGTCAAGGTGGGCATCAGCTCTTAGCCATGTGTGGCCAGTGGTCAGTGGTTCAGAACCAGAACACGTCTGCCTGTGTTTGTCTAGACATCCATGGGCCTTGCTTGATGCTCTATTTAAAGACACCAGAAGTAAAGGCTGAGGCAGAACTCCTCTTAATGCACTTGCCATCAGTTAATTAAATTACTTGGAGTGTGTTTCCCTCCCTTAAACATGCCTCCAGCACCAACTCAATTGCATTTTTACTTTGCACAGTGAGGTTAGCAATTTGGGTAATTGTGGGTGCAACTGGAGATTAATGGCCTCTCGTTACCTCCCAGGAAGCACTTGCTGCTCGTGGTCAAGTCAGCAGCCCACACACAGGCAGGGCTCTGAGCTTCTCAGAAACCCCCACGTGAGGATGCAGGGCAGCACCAGCCCCATGGGGGTCCTCGGGCCTGATGCATGCAACCACATTCTACACACACAAACACACACAAGTACACAATACATACACATAACACACAAAAAACACCACATACATACACATACACACAACACATATACATACACATACACACACCTATTCACACATACACATATGTCCATTCAGGTGTATGTGGCTCCCCTGCCTTAGAAAGAGGAAGGAGGCAACACAGCCTGTCGGTGAAGGGCACAGACTCTGGGAGGTCAAAGGTACCTGGGTTTAAGTCTCAGCTCTGCCGCTTACTAGTTGAGTGACCTTGGAAAGGCCACTTGACTCCTTAAGCCTCAGTTTCTTCCTCTATGAAATGGGTATGAATAATAGTCACTGCCTCATAGGGTTGCAGTGCAGATTAAATGAGAAGATACATGTGACCTTCTTGGCACAAGTGTTCCGTGCTATTATCCCTCTCATTATCATCATCATCATCATTATTATTACTATTACTACTACTGCTGCTGTTGCCAAACAACACCTTGCATCCTGAGTCCCCAACAAGCAGCCAGCAGAAGCCTGCGGCTCCCCAGTCAGGCAGCTATGACCCTGGGCTGCCCCTGCTGCCTGTCCTTGAGACAGGACAACACCATCCATGTCAGTCTCGTTTCATGCAGGGAGACGGACAATGACCAGCCACCTCCTGCAGGTCCAGAGCTGTTGGGTGAGCTGTGTGACTGCTCTGGGCCTGAGGGGACCGGGGGATGAGGATGTCCTCCCTGCGGGGACATTTTTAGGCTGAATGTGGGACATGACTAGCCAGGTGCCCACACAGCAGGTGATCGTAGGAGCAGTCCCCGTCTGGGGACAATGAGGACAGCAGCCCTGGGAAGAAATCAGCTGTAGGGGGAACAACCAAACCCTCTGGTTTCACGGGGTATTTTTGAAGTGGTCGGGGGAGAACAGCCCAGAAGGGCAGCCCTGACGGGGCAAAGATCAGGGATTGAATAGCTCCTAGAGACTCTCAGCATACAGCGTGCCAGTGCCCGCCCCGCCCCCTGCAGTCAGAGATGGAATACTATCCCCCGCGTGGTAATTAGCGCCGGGCACGGAACACTGCGCAGACCAGGAAGCTGATCAGCCTACAAAACCCAAGGCGGGAGCGGGGCGAGCACGGGGAGGTGCGGGCCTCCTTGTTTTGTCACTCGCATGAGACATCTTGATTGGCAACAAAATATTAATCACTTTTTCACTACTCTCTTAATGAGACGCTTTCATGGGCAACAAAATATTAATTTGTCTTGTCTTATCTGTTAAGAATTCTGTTAAATGAATTCACTCACAGGGCCATTACAGAATGCCATCCTAATGACACATGTAATTAAACTTTTCTGACTTGCAAACATCAAGGCTGCCTCGAGCATCAGAATAATATTTGATTAGAAAGTAAATGTACCCTCTAGCCCAGAGCTGAGTGGGAAGGAGCCTCACGGATTCCCCAGCGAGCAGTGTCGCTGTCACAGCGTTCATGAGTCCCGGGTGTGTGTGTGTGTGTGTGTGTGTGTGTGTGGCCGTCCAGATGGTGCACGTGCAGAGTCATCCTCTGGACTCACTTACTATGAACTGGTGAATCCAAGGCCTGTGCTAGAGCGTAGAGCAAAGACACCCTGGGCCTCGAGGGGGCTGAGACATCAAAAGGCAGAATTACAGGTTCCATGTTACAAGGAGGGAGCCAGCTCTGGGGGCCGGAGGAAGGTGAAGCTCTGGTCCAAGTTCAGGGGACAGGGATAAGCAAGAGAGGAGTCTGGATGGGGGGCTGGGGCCGGAACATGACAGGCTTGAATATTAACATAAAGGATCTTGGCTGTTCCCTTAGGCAGTGGGATTCGTAGATCTTAAATTGGGGAGTGACACGGTCAAATGTCTGTTTGACCATGAGCCTCTTCCAGCCTAAGATTAAACATGCACCCAAGGAGGACCCCAAATAAGTGGGACCCAAAAATGAGGGGGACCCTGATCATGCTCCGGGAGGTGTGAGAGGAGAGGGGTTAGGGGTCTTCCTCCCCAGTAGTGCATTCAGAGTGGGGCAGTGCCCCAGGCTGCCCGGAAGTTCAGGCAGGACCTGGTGTGCCACCTGAGGATGCCTGAGCCAACCCCCCGCCCCCCGCCCCTTGGCAGGAGGCCCCAGCTTGCATGAGAGACCTCTGCCTCAGCCACACCGGGAAAAACACCGCCCCCCAGCAGGGCAGCATCAGGGACCGAGAGTGCAAGGCCCAGAGACAGGCGCTCCCAGCAGAAGGTGCAGCGGGAACACACTGTGGCCGCTGGCAGTGGTCTCTGGATTTTGACGCCTTTTTCTGTTTGTTCCATCAGAAATCAATAGTTTCTGCTCCCACACCTACGCACGCGAACAAAGCCTGCCTGTACTGTGTTTGCTTCCTGGCCGGCTGCCATGGTTCCTTTACTGAGGCAGTCATGGGTCTGGGCGGCTTCAGACTGGCCCTGCGGCCTCCCGCTTTAGCTTTCAGGACATGACCCATTGCCCCCACTTCCGAAGCTACATGGGGGCAAGGCCATGGCACCTCCCATGGCACCTCCCAGAGCTGGAGCCCGAGCTCAAGGCTGCCGTCCAGGAGTGGGCCTGAGCTGGCGTCTGACGGAGGATAGACCCTCACCCCACAGTGGCCCTGGCCCTGCTCTGTTCAGACAGCACAATGTCGGGTGCGGAGGGCACTCCGTCCCAGGGCCTCAGCCAGATCCCCGTGGGCTTAGCTTATCATCAGGAAGAATTCTGCCTTAGGAGCTACCGAGGCACCCGTCACTGCAGGCACCCAAGCGGAAAGGGGACCAGCTGGGTAGCCTCGAGGACTCTCCCAGCCC